GAGAAGGGACAGAAGATCAAGAACATCAGGACAGGGCTGATATCATTTACAAAGCCCCAGAAATGAAAGTTCATTCCATTTGGTTGAATTCTGTGAGTGATTCATGATAAACATATAGATTCCATTAACCAGGGAGCAGCAGACTTTTTTTATAAAGATAGTAAATATTTTAGTGTTTGTGGGCTGCATAAACTTTGTCATGAAAATTCAATTTCGACACTGCAAAGAGAAAGTGCTCGCGGACAATATGTAAATGAATGTGTTCCAATAAAACTTTATTTAGAAAACCTGGATGCAGGCCAGACATGACTCACATCCTGACTTTGCTGGCACCTGCACCCTCACTGCTTGAGGTAAGATCCCAGAGCTGCAGCAGGACCACCTGGTACTGCTCTTAGAAATGCAGAAACAAGATCCACTAACGAGAGTCTGCACTTTATTTTCAAGAGCTAAGCAGTCTTGTTAAGGCATTTGGATTTATATTGGGGCCCCCATATTTTCATGGTGAAAGATCCTTCAGCTGTATCTGAGAGGAGCATCTCTCCAGCCTTCACAAAGAAAATAGACAACTAAAGGCAAACATACAGGAGGTTTTCTCTTTTCTCCCAGCCCGTGCGTTAGTCAGTTCTTTGTCACTGTAACAATACCTGAGAACAATTTAAAAGGAAAGATTTATTTTGGTTCACAGTCTCAGGCCATGGTCAGCTGAATCCATGGCTTTTAGACCCAGGATGAGGCAGAAACTACGTGGTGGAAGAAAGCTGCTCAGCTGATAGAAGCCAGGAGAGAGAGAGAGAGGAAAGACAGAGTGATTCGGGTATAAATTATACCCTCAAAGGCACATCCCAGTGACCTAGACCCCACCTCCCAAGTTTTCACCACCTTATTTCCCATAGTACCCTCAGTGAAGGAACTAACCTTTCAACACATAAATTTTTGAGGAACATTTAAGATCCAAACCACAGCAATGGAGGAAACCCCTGCCCCACCTCCTATCACAGCAAAGGCCAACTTCCAAAGCCACTGGAGGTTTATCTTCATTAAAGCCTCCTGAAGATCAAACCATTTGGCACATTTCTAAGTGTAACTGGAATGCTTCTTGTAACGAAACTTCTATCCGGACCAGAGCTAAGCATCATGTTTCTATGCCATCCAATATGCAGCCATTTCTCCCATAGGTATTCTATAACTCTTTGAGGTCCATCTCTCAGACTGCCACCATCTCTGGAGGCATTTCTGGTCATGTGGACTTGATGTCAGCCTCTAGATGGGCATACAAGGCAGCAACTCGAAACATGAGCAGAATAAAGACCCTTAATTAGGCAAGCAAGAGACTCCAGGCCCGCGGAGTTGCGCGCACTCCGGGGAAGACATCAATCAAAGAATGCAGCATCCTTCCTGACTTTTTATTTATGCTTTAGAAAATCCAATTAAAGCAGAGCCAGCACACTCTTCATTTTTCAGCCATTTAATGCACACAACAGAGTTGTCGGCCATGAATTTAAACACACGCACTCACTACTCATGCACGCACACAAAATAAACACACGCATCCTGTTTCTTTCTTATGAACTTCAAGGACTTAGTAGGGCATGCCTGCAGACATCCAAGAGGATGACAGGAAGTTGGTCACAAATGTCACTGGGCTGCTTGTGTTGGTTTCTCGTGTCTTTCCCTCTGATGATTACATTTCATCCATGCATCTTTTCTGCTCCATTTGGCTTGACCTTAGGGATGGTTCATGATGATCATGCTGATACGAGCAGAGCCTGTGAATAATGTAGCTTTGCTGTCTCACTGGTGGAAGGTTAAATGGCTGCTTCACAACCCAACTTTCATTTCCCAGCCACACCTTGATAAAGGAATGCCCCAGGAAGACACCCCTGGGAAATTACTGCTGAGAGCTGGCTTAGATCAAATTGTGGGGATACGAGGCTGCTTGTGTCTCTAAATGCTCCCTTGCCAGATCAGTGGGACCCAATGATGGAAACCAGCCCATCTGCACTCTCACACCTGAGAACCCTAGAGCACCCATCCCATCTAGAATCTAGAATTCTATACCTTCCCAGTCCTAGCCAGGTGTTGGACACACAGCAGAGTGAAACGTTCTTAAAGTGGGAAGTACTCAGGGTTGGCACCTTGGGTTCTGGGCCTTCCAACCTCAACATGAGTCCCAGTTCTAATTACTTGTCCTGTGGCCTTAAATATGCTGTGGAATCTTTTCTATGACTCAGTTTCCACATATGCTAAGAATCATGGCAGGGCCTGCCTTACAGGGCTTTGGGGAACATGCTGAGAGAGTGCACGGGGAGAGTTATGGGAGAGAATGGGATGCAGTCAGCTGTTGCTCCTAGCGCCCTTGATTACTGACGGTTCCCTTTTTGCTAGCCACATGTGTCCCCTCCTAACAGCCTTGTCACAAAGCTCCTTAGGTATGACCTGGCTTCATGCTCCTCAGCATATATGAACCGAGTTCCTGGGTGGCTTTTCTCTTTAACTGGTGTTTTCCAGTGAAATCATTTATTTCCTCAAAGAGGAATTATGAACTATTTGAAGGCAGAGGATCTTATCTTCTTGTTTTGCATATGGACTCTCCCAACTCCTAAGATAGTTACTATAATGCTACACACAAAGGAACTTCTTAATCTTTAATGAGTTGATTTTATTTCAGGATATACAGCATACTACATATGACAAGTAACGTGGACTTGGTCTAGTTTCCTTCAACAATACTGGCACACAGGCTGAATGGAAGTTCTCCTTTGTGTTTACAGTACTCAGAACACCACACTGTCACTATGCTACCCGGGTTCAAATTTGAGCTCTTCTAACTACTTGCTGTGTGACTGGGGAAAGTCATTGAAGTCTCCCAGCCTCTATTTACCAACCTATAAAGTGAGAATAGTACATATAGTTTTAGTGAAGATTAAATGGGTGAAGAGAGTGCTTAATGACACTAGTTTATTATTGAATAAAAATAATATGAAAAAGAATATTTACCTTAATTTGAGAATAAGCTATGGGATAAAAATGTTAATATGTTGATTTTCTAGCATGACTAATCATCACCTGCCAATAAGTTATACAAATGATGCAGCATTCTTTGTCTCATCAATCCTGTTTTTTTCTTGGAGAATCACCTGTTTCCCTCTATGTGTTGCTGCAGGGACCTTCTTAGCAACTATCCCACCCCAGGCTTTCCTCTTACCATATGGGGGAGCACATGACCAAAACGAGCCAATCAGAGTCTTCTCTGAGATGGGATATGAATCCTGGGAAAGGAAAATTCCTCTTTCCCTAGAATTGAGGGATATTAGGATTACACAAGCCAGAGATGCTTTCAGTCACCTTGAATGCCTTTGAAAGATTGAAGAAAACACAGATCAATGCCAGTGCATGAGCTGAGAGACAGAGAGATGGCAAGAGAAAGCAAAAAAATCCAACACTGCTTGATGAGCTCCTAAATCATGACTTGACTAAAGACAACTCAACTGTTAGCCTTCCCACTTCTATGAGCCAATCAAATTCCTCTTTACTCAAATCAGTTTATGTTTTCAGTCACTTGCAAAAGAAACCATAATTGAAATGATTTTATGAGTCAAGTGTCAAAGCAGCTCCAAGAAAGTTTACTTTCATCAGTTAGTGCCACATGAAACTAGAAAAACTTATTTAAATAGTAAAATATATATGACCTAAATGCACATATATATATATGATATATATATACTTATAGAATGGGATAAATCACATGAAATTGAGTCCCAATTATATGCCAGTTATTATTGCAGCACATTATGTGTCTTGTTTCATCCTTACAGTTTCCCTTCAAGATCAGCGTATCTATGCCTGTATCACACTAGTGAAAACAGAGACACAAGAGATTTTATATTTTGCCCAAGGTCACTTTGCTGCTAGGTAACAAAGCCTAGATTTAAACCTAAGCTCTCTAGATCCAAGGCACTAAGTTCTCTCCATTACACAACATTGGCTCCCTGGGAAACAATGGCCTTCTTATCCACCCATGTGTTCCCAGTGTCTAAAGTGGTTTGCATGCTACTACATAAGTCCTGCCCACATACACGTGCTCCAGCTCACAAAGTGAAGGCACAGAGCCCCCATTAGCTAATCACAGCACACAGTACCTAGAAGGCCAAGGTCCACAGGGAGGCCCCAGGAGAAGGGACCCAAACCAAGAGAACACCACACATCTTCCACAGACACCTTTTCTCAGTGATCTGCACACTCGCTCTAAAATAGACCAAGACCCCAGGAGAAAGCAACTGGAGTATTGGCTTTGAAAACAAATGACTCAAATACAAGCATATGTTTAAAAATATATAGTTAAGATGTAAAGGAAAAATTATAATACCATCAGGGAAATTAGAACACCATATATTTGATGTTACTGAGAAGATAATAAAATATGATTTTTTAAAACAAGAATCTTTACCTTTTGGAGAGGAATATTGAATTGCTTGCAGATGAATGCAATCTGTAACTTGGTCTTGCCTAGAAATAGTCTATGTGGAAGGACAATAAATAAAGTACAATTGACCATGCAATGACAGTGGCTGAAGGTGGGTAATGGGACACGGAATTTTCATATTATCCGTTCAGTGGTTTATATAATTGTTAAAATTGCAAAAGAAAGAAAATGGACATAAGAATCATAGGTTTTAAAAACACAGTTTAGTTTTTGAACAGTGTGAGGCATGTGAAGAACAAGGATGAGAACAAGGGGGACTGTGATTTTCACTGCAACCCTGTAGTGTTATTAATTTTTCTCACTAGGTAAACACAGTCATTTGAAAAAATTAAATTTTCAAAGTCATGAGGAACAGAAAGAGTACCTGACTCCTGTAATCCCAGAAGTCAGGAGGCTGAGGCAGGCAGATTGTTGCAAGTTTGAGACAGCCTGGGCTAAAGTGAGCTCAAGGCCAGCCTGAACTGCATAGTGAGACTCTGTCTCAAAAAGAAAAAACAAAGAAAAGAAACAGTACCTGAGTCAATCAGCCCCTCCCTGTTCCATGGCAGACATCACTAATCAGCCTCAGCCTGTTTTCCAGCCAGGCCCAGAGGAGCTCTGAATGGTTCTCAGTGCAGCCTGCCTGCCTTAGAGGATGAGATGTTATGCAGCTCGTGCCTAGCTCACACTGGCCTATTCTGCTTCTCACGGTGTAGACACCCTCATATCTGCTTACAATGATTGTCTTCGATTACTCCAGTCACCCTGGATTCTCTACCAGAGAGACTGCGGCTCCCAGAGCCTGCCCACAAGCCCTCAAAGTGATGTCAGCACTCCTGACTTGCCCTCCCCCAGCCTGAGAGGCAGATTCCATTCAGGGAGGAGCCCTGCTGAGCAAACTACCAGCTCTCCTTCAGTCACTGGCAGTAACACTCCCTATGATGTGCTTTACTGAATCTCAGAAGTGATGAGTGATAACAGATCTCAGTCCTGTGTCAAAGGAAAACATTAGGATTATATTTGGGTTGACTTCTAATTTGTAAGGGACTTTTCCATGATAGGACGAAAGTGAAGTGCCAGTCACGACTTCCCTGGATGGGCTGATGCAAATTCTCCAGGCAAGGTCGCTGGAGGGCCTCAGTGTAAACTGAGGCTCATGGCTGGGGCCTAGCTAACACCTTGTCCTGCTTCCTTCACTGAGAAAGCTTTAATGTGGTTTGTGGGACCCTGAGACAGTGGACCTCACCCCTCCCTATTGCCAGCCGTAGCACAGTGTGAGGACAATAAATAAAGTACAATTGACCATTCTCCCCACAAGCTATGGGGACACAAAGGGGAAAAGCAATGTCCCTTAATCATCACGATGGCCAGGCACAGTGCTAGGGGTTTTTTAGTCATTTCATTCTAATCATTTATCCTATAAATCACCTTTTAGAGATGTAAACACGGAGGCTCAACTGTGATTTTGCTGATGGTCACGCCTCTAGAAAGTGACAGAAGAGCAACTTAACTTTACATCCTTCTACGCTCTTCTGTGGCTTGATGCTCCAAAGAAGGCCATGCCTGCTTGTTAGCCCTCTCTGGTGCCAGGCTTATAGCCTTGGACAATCAGGAGTCATCACCATGCTCTTTTGGGCAGCGATCACCATGAGAGAATGTATGGGGGTGGGTCGAATCCAGACTTCACAGACCACACCTCCAGAATCAGAGTTTGCTGAGGAAACAAATTTCCACGGCTAAGAGGCACTTACTGTGTACCTCCAAGCAGCTTTGCGGTACCTATTCCCATTCCTCACTGGAGTCACACAGCCCATGTCTAGGACCTGAGTGTGCCCCTATAGTGGGGGAGGGGGTAGGATAAGCATTTTTGCGGTCTGATACCAAAAATACATTTTTTTTAAAATCTCACCCTGTCAATTTTATAATTGAAAGCTATTGGTTTGTCATGCGTATATGGCACTGAATGGTCAGCACAGACCTCTGGTTCATCTTGAAGATGCTTAGTCCAGAGAGGCCCAGGAATGAGCTCTGACCACAACTCTGGGAGGTGGCAATCACACAGTCTGTAACAGCAGAGCAGTTCCTGCAGATCCAGGACTGCACCAGCTTGACACACCTTCCTTGGTAGCTGATAGAATGTACAGACAACGGTCAGTAAAAGTACCCATGACTAGAAAGAGACAACCCACAGGTCCTAACTGTCATATTTAGAATATTCCACCCAGCATCGGGAGACTGCACAGTCTTTCCAGGTGCCTATGAGACAGTTACCAAAATAAACCACAAACCAGTCCATAAAATAAGTGTCAATGAATTTAACTTGAAATCAGAAGTATCTTCTTTAATCACTGATATTGGGAAATCACAATGATAAGTAAAAAACTGAAAAAATTTAAAAACATGAATTTAAATAAGCCACAAGTCATCAAAGAAGTCAAAACAGAAATTAGGAAATATTCTGAGCAAGTGAAAATACAACATATCAAAATCTGTGAAATGCAGCTAAGGCTGTACTTAAAGTGATATTTATTAAATTAAATCCATATGTTAAAACATAAAAAATATGTGCTTGCTTTGGCAGGACATACACTAAAATGTAAAGAATATATTAAGTAAGTACATATATTTTTAAAAGATTAAAGATTAAGATGTGTTTCTACTTTTAAAAGCTTGGTGAGAAATCAAGTTAAATACAAGAAAAATAAAAGTATACCTATGGTAAAGGTAAACACATAAATCAATGAAATATAAAATAAATATGCAGTGAAGAAAAATCAACTAACCCAAACATTGGCAGTTTGGAAAGATTAATAAAATTAATAAACTTCTAGTAGAATTGATTTCCTTTATAAAGGAAAACACTTTGCCAGGGATGAAAAAGAGGCTATCGCTACACATCTTTAAATATTAAAAGCTAAAGACAGGATAGTATGAAGAACAGCATGATAATAAATTTGAAAGTTTTAATGAAATTAGTAAATTCCGGAAAAATACTATTTACAAAAACTGAGGTGCCACAGCAAGAAGGCAGCTTATAAGGCAAGAAGGGATCCCTCATCAGAAACAAAATGCACCAGTACATGAAGCTTGGACTTCCAGCCTCCAAAACTTGGAAAATCAGTTTCTGTTGTTCAGACCATCCAGTACGCAAAATTTTGTTATGGCAGCTGAGGTACACTAATACAGCTACCACCCGAGACACAAGAAAGATAAAATTACTGTGCCAAGTACTGAGGAAGAGGTGAAGCAGTTGGAACTCTCATGCATTTTTGGTGAGATTGGAAATTACTATGAAGATTTTGGAAAACTATTTACCGGTATCTGTTAGATACCGATAACATATACCTACTCTATGATCCAGATACACTATTCCTGATGCGTATGTCCACTCATATACACAGAATATTCTTAACACCTTAATGTATAGTATTTCTAAACTAGAAACAGTCCAAGATTTCATCGGCGACAAAATAGTTTAAAAAAATTGTGAACATTCAGCAACGTGGATTATTCTCAAAGGCATGTTATAGAATGAAAAAAAGCCAACTCTTTGCAGAGTACATGGTACATGATTTATTTATATAGAGTTTATATAAATAGAAAACTATCATTTTATGAAATTGTCTATGGTGACAGAGTTCAGAAGAATGGTTAGCGTCCTTGGGGGTATTCACTTAGAAGAAGCACGAGAAGACTTTCTGGGGTGCTGGAAGTCTTGTAAATCTTGATGTTCCCTGGGTGCCTCCACATATCAAATTTAGAAATTTAGAAATTTCTAATTAGAAATTTGCCTTGATTTTAGGTTGGATCACCTTATATGGAGTCAAGTGGATGCTTGAAAACATGTTGTTTATCAAGACTGTTGTGGACCATCTCTTAGAAAAATAAATTTATCAAATGGAAACTTTCTTCCTTCAAATTTATAGTTTGTTTGTGAACACTGACTATATTTATTTCCAGTTCTGCACTTGACCTTCTGCTATGAAGAATGTAGCTTCCACTTTACTATATCAGAGAAGACCAGTCAAGTGGTTTTATGCATTTGAAGCACAAGAAAAAGTCCTAATAGTGGTGAACATACTTTTACCTGGCTTCTGGATTTCTCTGTGGTGCCTTAAGTTTCTATGGAAACTATATTATTTTTTCTTTTTTTAAATTTTATTTAAAAGGAAAAAGAGAAAAAACAAAACAAAACAAAGCGGTGTAAGGGTACAAGTAATACAGAACTACAAAAAAAAAAAAACAGTAAGAAATCACCAGTTAATAGATTACATATTATCATCTTAGAGATAGTTGCTCAAGTCACAGTATCAAAGCATACAAAGTGGTCATTCAAACAGTGAGACTGCAAACAGTTGTGTTCAATAATCCAAACAAAAACATTAATATGGTCAGCTATTTAACACCCCTAAACACACTTGCTGTTGTATCTTTTAGAGCACTTTTTTTTCTTCTCTTTTTTACAACAAAATTTACACATTTTGGGTTTTAGTACTCCTTAGTTCTTATTACTTTGGGGGGGGGGGGAGAATAAAGTCAAATATGGCAAAACAAAGCTGTCAGTCAAAACCAAGGATAGACATAGCACATGATGTAAAAACAGAGTATAAGGTTATCAACAATGGTTACCATAATGCGTTTTGCTTCCTTAAAAAGAATTGTCTATCTCATTAGGTATTATAAAGTTGAACAAAACAGTAGAGAACAAGACCAATAAAACTTAAGCATTGTAAACATCACAGGACTTCCAAAGGAGACAATAATCAAACCAGAATGGGCATCTTAGTGAATCTTATTGCCTTCAAAGTAGTTGCCTATACCCTCAAACTTGATACTATTTTTTCTCTTGATTATTTATGTTCATCGTGCAAGTAGCCAGGTTTCACAAAGCATCCTTAACTTCAGGCAAAAGGAGAGGGCAGATGTGGTTACAGATGTGTGTGTCCTATGAATGTGTGGATACAAATTGGTAAATATATGGATAGAGTTTTATATTCCATCCTAAAAGAATACTGAAAAGTATCTTTCTTTGCTTCTCTCAGGAATGTAACGAATGTAAGAAGAATATAGCTACATTGATTTTGTTAAAAAGAAACATATTTTCTACAAAACTATGGATTTTTATATACAACCTGACATATGAAGACAGATACTTTTACCAAGGAAATGGAAGAAAATTCAGGAGTGTTTGCTTGTGGGTGTCAAAATCTCAACTAAAAATAGCTTAAGGAAAGTAAAGGCAGGAGTGTAGCTCACCAAGACAAAGGAGGGTTTTAAAGATCAGAGCTTCTGTGGAAAGGGGTCCACATACTCTACCCATTTGTCTCCCCCACTCTATGCTGTAGGCACCCTCTGTCCACTGCCACTACAGAGACATGGCTAGAGACAGAGCTCTGACATTCACCTTCCCCAAATCAGTGGAAGAGTACCCTCACTACCGGGATCCCTTTCTAATGCTCTTGAGAAGGCCACTGATTCTCCTGGCTCGTGCCATGTGACCACCCTGGCCCAGAAATTATGGCTCACGAACCAGGAATAGGGCAGACAAAAGCAGTATCTGTCCACAGCTGCTAAAGACACCTCAAAAAGACTGCTCAGCACAATGCAGTTTAAATACCCCCATTTACTTCTCCAGACACCCCATACCGTGGCATCGCCACTGATTTCTAGAAGGTACCATTTTCTCGATTTTCTGACTTTAAAATAGCACTTTCCACCGCCTGTCAGCACTCTCAGCCAGTCTGGCCCCGATTTCCATGG